AAAATAATTCAAACACAAACAGTTCTTCATTTCATTTGGAGTTCGATCACTGGAGCTGTTGTCCAACTTGCTGTGTTTGGTATTCATCTAAATCCAACTATTCCTTCTACTTATTGGTTATTTTTGGTCGCGATGTATAAGCAAAAAGCTGAAGTTAAGATATTTGGCATAGATCATCACAGAGAATTAAAAGATTAATAAATTGAATGTTCACAAAATACGTTCAAACATCAAAACAGCATGATATCTTGCATTGATTAAATAAATAAAAGTTTTCTACTGAAATCATTAATTTATGATTTTTATTTAAAAAGCCCGCGTTTTTTTGTTCTTAAAGATAATCGTGGAAATTGCGCGAAACAGTGTTATCAAATTGATTTTTTCTAATCAAATATAGTCTCTCCTATACGAGCATATGTTGTAATAGAACGCAGTATCAATTTAAAGAGGAATAAATACACGAAAATCAGAAAGAATATTTATATTTAAACGTAATGTAATTTCTGTGCAAGTCATAACTTACTTTAATTCTTACACTGTATTATTCACAGAAATTTGTTATAAATATAAAAATTCCTTTTTTTAAATTTTATTATCAATTAATGGTGATAGTTAAATACTAGCGACAAAGAGATAATTAATAGCAGAACAAATTAGATTTTGCCAAAATAATTGTACTAATTTTTATTATCAATTTGTATTAATATGCTAAGTTGTATTAATTTCATATTATCAGTTACAAAAATTTGATCAGCAGTTTTCAAGTATTTATAAATTTTAGTTATATTAAATAAAGCAAATCTCTCAAAAATTATTAAAATGATTTGGACAGGTACAAAAATTCAGATCAAAATTTTTACTTAAATAGCAAGTAATATTTGTACATGGGTTTAAGTGTGATTTATGATTGCGTCAAAGAATTGCGCAGGTCACTTATTTGATTTAAACATACAGACAGGCATGTCTTTTTAGGCTTATCTTTATAATTTAAAAAAATATCGAGTTTTTCCATAATTTATTTTTTTATGCATAAAATTTCTTCACAACTTAAACTGAAAAATTATAAAAAGTTTACTGAATTTGTTGAAAGTTTCTGTTTATTTGTTGCTATCACTAAGTAATTATACCAACTTAATTAATATAGAAATTGTATAATATTAGTCAAACAAAAAATAATAAATTATCATTATCAGTTTTTAAGTAGAAATTAAGTAAATCTATTTAGCAATTTTCAATCAAATACAGTTATGCTTTACAAATATTCTTGCCTGTCATTACAATACTTTGCTGATTTTTATGAAAATTTTACTTTCGAAAATTAACGAGTCGAGCATTATAAAAATTACGTGACCCCAGATTACGAACATTTCGAATTTCCTTAGTGAAACTTCGTCAGTATTAATTGTAAGAATCACCTCAAGTAAATTACCATCTCTAATTATACTGTAAAGATACATTTATGATTTTGTACATTGGAATTCATATTACCATCGGATTATGCTTATAGTTTTATTTCTATTTCAAAAAAAAGCAATTTGATAAAAATTAATCACTTAAGCACTATTGATTATACTAAAATGAAAGAATATGTTTATTATCTGATTATGTTTAAGAATTAATTTAATTAATTTTTAATTATAATGACGACAATTAAATATGCATTAACTGTACTCTAATTTTTGTCTATTATTATGTTCCTTTGTACTACATACGTGATCGAATAGTATATTAGTTTAATTTAATTAACGTATTAGGCCCTACACAAATTATAAATCAATGAGATAAAGTTTTAGGAACAATACAAAGAATGAATATAAAAATAAAGGCAGTCATGAGTCAGATAATTTCACAAAATGACAGCAGTCATTATTCAATTTCTTGTTGTAATTATATATGATAATTTAGTGATAATAATGGATGATAATATGCATATCAGAAGAAGAGAAGGATAATTTATATTGCAAAAGAATCAGTCTCGAAGGGCATTGTTGGTGGTGTATATAACGCGACTAGCTGCTTCATATTTCAGTAAGAAGCAAGATGAATTTATTTTGGGATAAAAGATATAGGTATGTGTTAAAATTTGATCAGTTGATCTGCGTGAGATCAAATGATTACACTCACGTTTGAATTTTGATCAGCATTTTTTATGTACAATGTTAATGTACTGAAATCTAAAAACCAAACCCAAATCCAGAAGACAAAAAATAAAAAAAAAAAGATAATTGCAAAAACATTGAAACACGTAACAGTTTAAAAGCATTGCGCTTATTTACAACAATAAATAGCAGTTAGCAATTTAATTATACCAATTTATAGGAATTTAAATGTACAAGCTCAACTGATCATTGTCATCTTCAATTTTGTATTTGTTGAAAATCAGGGTAAAAGTTTTATTAAACTCAATATCAATTCAAAAATTTGTAATCTAAAAGTTGAGCAGTGATAATTAAGTCTAGAAATTTAATGATTAATTAATTGTAATAAATAACTTTGCTTATGATAAAAAGATAAAGATCATTCATCATAATCATAAAATTGCTTTATTTGAATTTTGTCAGTTTTTAAGTAATTATTACATAATAAAA